AGTGACATACAGCTCTACATTTCCAACATATCTATTGACCCCTTCTCAGCCTCCACAATCACACGGTGAATGATTTAAAATTTTTTCCAAAAGTATAGTAGCCAAACTGAGGTTGTTATTTCCCAGTTCTGAACAAGGGTTATTGAACCTGAAGCGTTAACTCTGATTTCAATCCACAGATGCTGCCAGACCTGCTGAGATTTTCCAACAATTTCTGTTATTGTTTGTTTGTTATTTATTATTTATTGACACACACATGCAAGAGCAAGCCATTCAGCTCCTGTAGCCTGCTCCACCATTCTAGATCGTGGCTCACCTTCTACCACAACACCTTTTATTCCTTCATTTATCACCAATAATGAAATTTTTAGAAATCTATCAATGTCTCTCTGAAATTATTTAATGACTAGGCTTCCAGCACCCTCAAGGGTAGAGAATTCCAAAGATTCACCATCTCCTGACTGAAGAAATTCTCCTTGTCTTGTTCTGAGATGATTTCCATGAGTCCCACACCTCCCAGCAAGGGGAAAAATATTTCTTTCTGTATCCACACATTCCTCTGAAAATGTTGGAATTTTTGAGATTACCTCTCATTCTTCTAAACTCCAGAGAACATAGGCCCAGTCTCCTCATAGGACAAGCCCACCCTCCTAGGAATCAGTTTGATAAACCTCTGCAGCACTTCCTGTATGGTTATTATCTTTCCTAAGGGGAGAGTTCAGAATTGCAAGCACTGTCTCCAGTGTGGTCTCACCAGGGTCTACACAATTGAAGTACAACCACTTCACTCCTTTTCAGATCCTTTTACGATAAAGGCTAAAATACCACTTGCTTTCAAGACTGCTTATTACGCCTGTGTACTAGTTTTCAGTGTAATATTAACAAGCTCACCTATGTCCCTTGACCTTAATACTTTTCAATCTCTCACCATTTAAGAAGTATTGTGCATTTCTCTTAGAGTAGTTAATGTCACACTTACCTACTTTATATTCCATTTGCTGTGCTCTTGCTCTTTTACTCAGCTGTCTAAGTCCCCTTGAGGCCTCTTTGCATTCTCCTCACAACTCGGATTTCTTTTAAGTTTTGTGTCCTGTGCAATCTTGGGATGTTAAGTTAGTCCCTCGTCCAAATCATTGATGTAGATTGTGAATAGTTAGGGCCCAACCACTGATCCTTCTGGACCATCCCTGGTCATAGACTGCCAGCCTGTGAGTGACCCATTTATTCCTACTGTTTTCCGCTTATTAACTAATCCTCAATCCCTGTTTGTAGATTACCCCCAATCTCAGGACTTTTGTTTATCAACCTCCTGTACGTAGTAACTTTATGAACTCTGTTAGCAACCTCCTCATCAAACTCGGACAGGTCTGTCAAACGTGATTTTCCTGTCAGAAATTCAAGTTGACTCTGTCCAACCAGGCAATTATTTTCTAAATGTCTAGTATTTGCATCCTTTATCATAGCTAAGTGTCTTCACTATTATTGTAATTCCCTGTTTTCTCTTTCCATCTTTTTTAAACAACTTTCCAATCTACAGAAATAATAGTTTTGAAAGATCATCAATGCATCCACTATCAGTGCATCCATCTCTTTCAGCACTCTCTGATAAAGATCATTCAGTCCTGAGGATCAGTCAATTTCCAGTCTCATTAATTTCTGTTTTTTTGAACAATGCTAATTTATTTCAGTCCCTCACTCACTGTATGCTTCCATCTTCATTATTTTGTGGAAATATCTTGTTGCATCATCTGTGAAGACAGGCACAAAGTACTTACTTAGCTTCTCTGCCATTTTTCTATCTTCCATCATTTATTCTGATTCTGCCTGTTATGGACCCACATTTGTCTTTGCTAATCCTTTCATTTTTGCACACTTACAGAATCTTGTACATTTTAAGTCTTTTGCAAGTTTAAATTCATTTTCTGTTCTCTCTCTTAATTTCTTGGTTCAACTTTGCTGAATTCTAAAATTCTTTCCAACTTCAATTGATAAGCTGCCTCCCTAAATCTAATGTGTCTTCACCTTCTCTTGTTAGCTATATTCTCATATTTTCTGTTGGGTAATTTTCATTTTTCTTTTAATGATCATTCACCACTCCCTACGTAGCACAGGTGGGTGTTCCACATGGTTGAGATGCCCAACCATGTCTTAAGCTTACTTTCAACTACAGACATCAAACTAGACACTAGAAAATAGACGGTAAAATATTCATCAATCAGATCCAATGAATCTTGCTCTTAACAAATCTGATATTTACACTACATACTCACTGACTAGTCAATTTTAAACTTTACTTTGTCACTTTTTTTAAATGTTGAAACGTGCTGATTCTCACCTTCTGCCTGTGTGAAAGAGCTGAGTGTCCACATATAAGTCAGTGTAACTCCCCCTCTTCCTGCTCACTGGTAGGGGTTGAAACCATAAAATCTTGTTGAGAGATCCATGTCCTATCCTTAATGACTAGCTTATACACCTGCCCTTGCCTCACCCTCCCATATTTGGTTTTACAATCTCTATGCTCTCTACTCATTAGCAGTCTATATCTTATTCTATGTGAAGTCCATCATACAACTGTTCATAATTTACCACAAAAGACTTTTTGGCCGTCAAATCTGTACTAGTTCTTTATAGAGCGATTCGTTTGGTCACAATTTCATGATCATTTCTCATCAGTGCAATTAATTTTCAAATGATTTATTCCATTTCCTTTGGAAGACCACTATTAAAACTGTACCCATCATCTGATATTTCAAATCCTGATCATTTGTTGCATAACTAACTCTTTCCAACACCTAAAGGGTCAAAAAATTTAAGGTGACATGAGGGAAATCTTATTACTCAACAAATGATTAGGATTTGAAGTATCAGGTGGTGTATACAGTTTTAATAGTGGCCTTCAGAAGGTCAGAGTCTTTCTAATAATCATCCAGCTACTTCAGTTTGTATTTATGTCAAACTAGAAAGGAATAATTTTGAAATAGTTATCTTGCCCATAGTACAAAAGCCTAGTCACATTAGATAACGATGCACACAGCAACCTTTAATATTTTGAAATATCAATCTTCCTATTTTGATTCTTAGCTGCTGCTTGAAGGTGATATGAATGCTTGGGTGGGAGGGTGTGGTATACAGTTTATATTTTGGTATTGTCAGACACAGCATCACAAAGATAAACATATCCACAGGTAAGTTTCCTTGCATTGATATGATTTCCGTTTTCCATGTTTTTAGCTTCTATAATTTGTTAACTGCTTTGGCTTGCAAGGAAAGACCACTTTCTCCAGGAGTTGCATGTAAAATGTAAATCAAGATCCAAGAGATACAGAATAATGCTGGGTCAAGTAGTACCAAGAGAAAGAATAGTAATTCTGCAGTAGATTTGCTGGTAACCCTATGTGGTTTGACTGTGATTTATTCGGAACACCAAGAGTGTTTAAATTGAGCTAAATATTTATTCATTTGTGTGTTGTTTAATAGCTTTAATCGCCTGGATTTACCGCCTTACAAAAGCTATGAACAGTTGAAAGAGAAACTGCTTTTTGCAATCGAAGAAACTGAAGGATTTGGGCAGGAATAGAAGCAGCACATGTTCTTGATGACATCAAGTAACTCTGTCCTATCCAACCGTCTACAGTTGCACAGATGCCTACTGTTGTATATAAGCTATTTGCCTAGAGAAGTAATTCACTTCTGGAATCCTATAGAACTGAGCTGCTTTCCTTCCTGAATCATTATGCAAATTTGTCTTGAACCATACATAGTATTTTACATACCTGTGTTTTCCCTTAAAATGAGTGTCTTGGAGAAAACAGTTTAGCTGCTTTCTGAAACATGATTTTTTTTTTTAAAAAAAACCAGGAACAGCTAGAATATCAATGGCTCTAGTTTTATAGAGCTTAATTGAGATTTGGTAGGTGTGCTATTAGGCCCCCTTAGTGTAAAGTTGCATCTTCCAGAAGAAAACACATGCCCTATAAATCAGTTTCCACTGATGTAACAAATCTGCCAGGGTTATTTCTCGCATGGCTTTCACTAAAGTATTTAAGGCTAATGCCAAACACACTCAAATATCTAGAATTAATGCTGCTGGCTTGTTGAGATCATAGAATGTGTAAATGCTGACATGAGGTTTTCTTTTACTTTCTTGTGTTATTGCTGTTTATGTATGTCTCGTGTATAGCAGACTAAAAAAAAGGAAAGCAAAAGTACTGGGTAGTACCCCAAAATACAAATGTAATTTTATAAACAAGAAGCTAATGTGGACAATTTAAGTAATTATGCAAAATATTACCTCCTGCTGCTTTTATGTTCAGCCTTTTACAGTTACATTTAATCAATCAGGAATAAAAATAAATAAATTTTGCACATTAAGGAATGTTGTGTAATTGGTTTCCTCATTGCGATGTTATACATGCTTTTTTAATGGCTATTGTGTAAATTGCATTCTATACATAGGTTTGACTTTTTTTGTCTTTCAAATATAATTTCTAATAGGTCTTCATTCTTGCTAGAAATATCATGGTTTATTTTTTCTCAAATGCAGAAGTTTCAAAACATGTAATAAAATGATTTTAAAATAGTCTCACCAGTATTGAGGGCATTTACTTAATTACATGTAACAAAAATATATTTAAAAATAATTGTGAATTATATGGAACTGCAACTTCTAACACACCGTGCTTCCATGCAGTAAATGGGGAGATATGGACATTTGAAATGTAATGTTTGTAATGCTTTAAATTTAAACATTGTAAATTCCATTAAAGTTTTTAATTTGTAAAAATTTTGTAAATACTTGTTTGGTCAATTTTTCAAAAAAAATTGTTGTAAACAAAAGTAATCAGTTGGTGCCATTACCCAACTAAGTGGTCGCTACTCTAATAGATCAATATTACCACTTATTTATCTTCTGTTGGGTGCTCTCAATAAAATTCTCTTTTAAACCTGACTAGTAATTGCAGGTAGGAAAATTGAATAATAAAATGACAGTGATTTCTTCCTGACTTTTTCTGTGTATTTATTTTATTTTTGTTCTGAAAGCTGTTATAAAAGAATAGTTACAGATCCACAATGAACTTTAAAATAATAAAATGAATCACCAATGGTCCCTTCCATTTTATCTCAAGTGTTGGATACATCGTTTCATAAGATTTTTTTTTGTTGGAAATCCGAGTATTGAAAGTGCATCTCTGCACAAGACAATGAAATAGTGTGATTATTTTTTTCTTTTGGTATGGTCAGATTTCCAGTGGAAATGGGCCTTGTACATTCTTTTTCTATTGAGGCAACAAGCTGGAGCTGAATAGCTTTGCAATTTTATTTGTCTTTTTTGCTCATTGAGTTACTGACTGCACAAATTGGGTGTTTTACAGATTGCACAGGATATACATGATATTAACATTTTTATTTGCTTAATGCTATGTCAGGCCTGTACAACTTCATGTAGGATTCTTCTTATGATTATAAACAATACCAAAAAAAAACCTTTAAGTTTATTGATCTGGGAAATCAATTGACTTATTTTTCAATATTAAACAAAATACTGGCTGTATTAATGAACCTGATTGTTCTGAGATAGTGCTCAATGCTGTTTGCTGATCAATTTCAGTAATTCGTTAGCTTCTTTTTGAACCTAAAAAGAGAAGATAACTGATTATCCACAACTTTTGCAAAAAAAAACTCCTACACCAAATGACCAAATAAATAAGTTGTGTGTCGGAAGCTTATATTTAATGTTTCAGCACAGTACACCAAGAAGTAATATTATAGAAATATGTATAACTTATGCAAATCAATTTAGTCACAAGGTTGTTGAGCGCTGAGCCATTAGATAGTATAGCTCCTGGAGCCAGCATTGAGCTTCACTGTTCACCACAGGAGCACAATGGATATTTCCACTAAGTAGTGTAAAGCTGTGAACAGAACCGCTCTGTTCCACAAAGGGGTCAGCCTATCTATATTTGGTCTCCCCATTTATAGAGGTACCATTGTGAACAGCATACTGAAGTGGAAATAAAATTATTTTCACTTGAAGTATTGGTGGTCTTGGGTCATGAGAAAGTAGATGGTACATAAGAACTAGGAGCAGGAGTAGGCCATCCGGCTCCTTGAGCCTGCCCCGCCATTCAATAAGATCATGGCTGATCTTTTTGAGACTCAGCTCCACTTACCTGCCCGCACACCATAACCCTTAATTCCTTTACTGTACAAAAATTTATCTAGCCTTGCCTTAAACACATTCAGCGAGGTAGCTTCAACTGCTTCACTGGGCAGGAAATTCCACAGATTCACAACCCCTTGGCTGAAGAAGTTCCTCCTGACCTCAGTCCTATATCTGCTGCCCTTTATTTTGAGGTTATGCCCCCTAGTCCTAGTTTCACCTGCTAGTGGAAACAACCTCCCTGCCTCCACCTTATCTAGTCCCTTCATAATCTTCCCCTCATTCTTCTGAATTCCAATGAGTATAATCTCAGCCTACTCAGTATCGCCTCATAATCCAATCCTCTTAACTCTGGAATTAACCGAGTGAATCTCCTCTGTACCCCCTCCAGTGCTAGTATATCCCTTCTCAAGTAAGGAAGCCAAAACTGCACACAGTACTCCAGGTGTGGCCTCACCAGGACCCTATACAGCTGCAGCATAGCCTCCCTGTTTTTAAACTCCATCCCTCTAGCAATGGCAGACAAAATTCCATTTGCGTTTTTAACTACCTGCTGCACCTGCATTCCTACTTTTAGTGATTCATGCACAAGGACACCCAAGTCCTTCTGCACAGCAGCGTGCTGCAATTTTTTACCATTTAAAACATAGTCCATTTTGCTGTTATTCCTACCAAAATGGATGACCTCACACTTGTCAACATTGTACTCCATCTGCCAGACCTTTGCCCACTCACTTAGACTATCAGTGTCTTCTGCACACTTTGCTCTACCACTCATCTTAGGGTCATCTGCAAATTTTGACACACCACACTTAATCCCCAACTCCAAATCATCTATGTAAATTGTAAACAATTGCGGTCCCAACATTGATCCCTGAGGCACACCACTAGCCACTGACCGCCAACCAGAAAAACACCCAATTACCCCTACTCTTTGTTTTCTACTAGTCAACCAGTCCTCCATCCATGCCAATACATTACCTGTAATACCGTGCAACTTTATCTTATATAGCAGCCTTTGGTGTGGCCCCTTATCAAATGCCTCCTGGAAGTCCAGATACACTACATCCACAGGTTCCCCATTGTCCACCATTGCAAGTAACGTCTTCAAAGAATTCCACCAAATTAGTTAAACATTGACCTACCCTTCATGAACCCATGCTAGGTGTTCCCAATGGGAGAATTTGTATCCAGATGTGTTGCTATTTCTTCCTTAATGATAGATTCAAGCATTTTCCTGACTACCAAAGCTAAGCTAACTGACCTATAGTTACCTGCTTTTTGTCTACGTCCTTTTTTAGAACAGTGGCGTCACATTGGCTGTTTTCTAATCTGCGGGAACCACCCCAGAGTCCAGTGAATTTTGATACATAATTACTAGTGCATTTGCTATTTTCCCCATCACCTCTTTTAGTACCCTGGGATTCATTTCATCAGGGCCAGGAGACTTGTCTACCTTTAGCCCCATTAGCTTACCCAGCACTGCCTCCTTACATCTACATTTGCATGGTCCAGTACCCTAAGGAAGGGGGAAGAGGTGTTAGAGGTGACTTAAGGGTGGTCTAATAAAAGACACTTCTTGGAAGTCACGTGGCTTAAGTTACTTCCCTGGCTTTGTTTTTTGGAGATCACGTGTCTGATTTACAGTTGTCAGCAGTTTTTTCTGCTTTGGATATGGTTTAAAATTCAATTGGGGTACAGCCTTCTAAGAGTGAGAGAAGTTACCCAGCTGGGTAAAGCACTGAAACATATATTGTCCCCAGTGGAGCAACAGTGTACTCTCAAACATTGGCACTAATACCTGCGAACCACACTCAGTGGAAATCCTCACAAAGACAAAGGGAAGACATGTCAGAGCACTGGTATGACAAAACAGTTATTGGAACAGATGCAATAGAGAAACTGGGAGAATGTAATGGAGTCTTGACAGGAAGCAGAATGAATGCAGGTGTAGTTGAGGTAGCTGTGGCAGTCCAACATTAATAAATAGCATACCTTCAGAATCAAAAACTTAAGTCAGATACACCACAGGTAAAAGTGAGGGAACGATGCAATTTGGAAACAAAGTCAATGAAATTTTCCAGTTCATGGCAGGAATAAGGAGGCAGCATCAATAGTCAGCAATGTATCAAAAAAAATGGAGAGAGGCATAACTTGGGGCCCAGGCAGATATCTGCAACAATGGTTTTTATTTGCAGGACAGATTCAGCTACAAGGAAGGGGTTGCTGGTGACTGGGGTCTGATTAGGCCTCTAAGACTATTCCGATGGTGAATGCAAGTGTGGAAAGATTGGGCATTCATATTGAAGAGGAAACAGGGCCAGCAAACTGAAACCTGTTGCAGTGATGTAGAATGTCAAAACAGACCGTACAAGGGGAGGAACAATACAGTCAAAATAGGAAGAAATAAGTGGGCCAAAACAATGAGTCGACCAGGACAATCTTATTATTGGATGTTGGGGAGAATGTAGAAGTACACAGTTCAGAGTTAAAGTACATTGAGATTGGAAGCATTAGAAAGACCTTCAGAAGTGATGAAGGAAAGATTATAGTGTATAGTAATGTCACTGGACATTAATCAGAAGGCCCAGGCTAATGATCTGGGGAAATGGGTTCAAGAACATTTTGCAAAGGTCGAAACACTGAATTATCATTTGCATAATCTAGTGTTTTGTTATTGATGCTGTTCAGTGTGAGAGTATACTTTCCATTATAGAATTAACTGTGTTGGTTGAACTAGTTATAGGGTTGACACTCCATCAGTGAATAAGCAAGATTCGGCTTTACGTCAGAAATGTCACAACACAATCATAAAGTCAAAAAAAAAGGCTACAAAGTAGGATCAAGAATGAACTTAAGACTCTAATCAGTGATGAGAGGCATTTTTCTTGAAGGGTTACGTTAGTGAAATTTTTTGGCAAAATCTACATTGTTTGGATAAGGTCTGTCACTTGAGCTTTCTGCAATTACATAAAGTAGGTGTGCTGAGAAAGCCTGTGGCTCGGCTTGATGAAATTGGATCCTTAAAGCAATCACTGTCTTGAAAGTACTGTGGAAAAACAGTTTGCTTTGATGGAGACACTAATATTTCTTTCTTATATTTTTTCATGTATTGGCACTATTTTTCACATTCTGGAAACTAGTACAGTGATGAGATTCCAATAATTACATTAACATTTCTATTCTTTCAGGTTTCGGAAATAAGCTAATAATGTCTTCCCAGTTGCAGCTACTTTCTTAAACTAAGACTGTAGCTGCTCACTTTACCTAGGTTGAGACTAAGCAAAATTAATTGTATCCCATCAGTAACAAAAGTATTTGGAAGTAAGATAAAATTGCATGAATGGGCTTACCTGCTTGTCTTCTTCATTACGTGCTGGATAGTCTCTTGCTTTGGTCAGCCATAACAGAGCCAGCTTCTCATTTTTTAATTTCATGTAAGTTTTACCCATCATTAGTAAGTTTTTACTGTAGAAATTTGGATCAGCTGGAAGCAAAACACACACTAAACTTAAAGTTGCTACACTTTAAAGAGCAATTTACGGTTCTCTGCTCATGCCCCATTGTATAAAACAAACATTATTGACAAAATCATGAACGCTCATTTTTTGGTCTGTATTCAGTTATCTTGCAAACTTTGAAATTATGCTGATTTAAACACTAGGAAAGTAATGGGTATAGTACCAACGATATAATTTACAAAGTTTAATACAACATGCAAATAAAATACATTTATTATGCAGTATTTAATAGTTTGACCACATACAATTTTGTACAACTGAATGAATTAGGCTTGTTGAGCTCCTACCTTGCTCAGCCTTGTTAAAATATTGGAGAGCCTGAAACAAAAAAGACTCTATTTTAGTATCTTATATAATGTACTTCAATCGGTAACATTTGCACCTCACAAGTGCCAGGCAATAATCATTTCCCCTTGACAATATAATGGCATTACCATTGCTGAATCCTCCACCAACAACCTCCTTGGGGTTACCATCATCCAGATGTTACACCGGACTGTACTTAAAAATACTACAAGTATAAGAGAACGCTGCAAGAAGTAACTCCCCTCGCAACCTCTAAAGACCCTGCACCATCAACAAGGCACACATCAATATACTGGAATACTTCCTTGGATGAAATGCAGCTCTAAACACGAAGTTCAGCAGGTTGAAATATGTTGGCATCCCATCTGCCATCTTAAATGTTCACTCCTTTCACTGTCAAAGCAGTGTATCAGTTCCGTACTATTACACAAAATGCACTGCAGTAACTTATTCCTTTGACAACACCTTCCAAAACTGCAATCTCTACCTGCTGGAGGACAAGGGCAACAGATGAAAGGGAATACCACCACCTGCAAGTTCCCTTGGAAGTTATACACCATCCCAACTTGAAACTACATCATGGTTCTTTCAGTCACTGGGTCAGAAACTTGGAACTTTTCTTTGCACCATTGATGTAACTACATAAGATGAACTGCTGCATTTCAAGAAAGCAGTTCACCACCATCTTATTGATGGTAGTTAGGAATGAGCAGCAAATGCTGGTCTTTTAAATGACACCCCATTTAAAAGAAATTGCAAAATATGAAAAGTTAGCAATGGATTCAATATTTCTAATAGAAACATCGTAAAACAGAGACAGATTAGCACTTCTGTGGAATGACAAAAATATTTTTAATCATTAATCTATAAAGTATATTTCATGGCTCTGTCATCCGAAAGTATTTTGTTACCAACAAAGGACCCTTAAGAAACAACAGCAGCTAATTTGCACACAGTAAGATCACACACATCGAACTTCAGTAGGGACCAAATAATTCACTTTCAGTGATGTTGGTTCAGTCATTAAAAATTGGCCAGGCCATTGAAGAGAATTCCCTAATTCATCTTCAAATTAACAGCATGAGAACTTTTACACCTAACAGTGGACAGATTCTTGTTTAACATTTTATCGTACAGTGTATTATTCCCTCAGTACTTCCCTAGTGGGCTGGTCTAGACTTTGTGTTTAAATCTCTGGAGTGAGTCTCAACTTTTGACTCAGGCGAGATTGCTACCAACTGAGCCATGACTGACGAATGAGGAGTCACCTTAAAGACTATGCTTTAAGGGTTAAGAAAGACATGTTGATAAAGTCATTGATGGCTTCCGTTCCTAAATGCAACAGAAAGCCAATTTTAAATAACACTGCTCATCAGATGTTGACATTATGTAATATGTAAACACTTTGCTTCAGCACACCACTGCTGCATTACTTTATCTGCTATGTTGTACTGATTAATCCCAAGTCCATCTGTATTATGACTATTTTCCCTGTGGTCATTGCTATTCCTCGAATGTAGCTTGTCCTTTAATTAGGATCATGACCCAACAGAAAATATTTAAAATGAACATTGAAATTCTCAGATTTGATCTGATCTGGTCAAATACTTGTGTTATTACTGTGTATAAATTAGCTGTTATTTCTCATGAATTCTTTGTTGGTTACAAAATACTTTAAGATGTCATGGAGTCATGAAAGACAATTTATAGATTAATGACTAAACTGTTTTTGTCATTCTAGAGAAGTGTTAAGCTGTCTCTGTCATTTTGATGCTTCCACTAAAAATGCTGAACACATTCACCCCACAGTTCTTTTCAATAGCGGCTGTTTTACTGTATTGATCATGTGGCACAGTAGGTAATGTTCCTCTCTTTAAGCCTGAGCTTTGGGTTCGAGTCCTACTCCAGGATATGAAGGACATAGAAGGTGCATTCATGACATGGCTAAACAGGTAATTATCAACTTTTAAATTTTTCCAATCACAATGGCAGGCAGTAAGAGAAAAGAATGTTCTTTTCAGCCATGCTTGATGTGGATTAGAGACCCTCAAGATATAACCTCTGGTGACAGACTAGTGTCCTGTTTCAGAAGAAACTAGTAGCCACATAAACATAGATAAACACAGGCAAGCATGTGGCTGGTGAAATTTATCAGAGGAAAGTGTCAAATGTTACATTTTGGATGGAAGGGCTGAAAATATGAACTAAACAGTACCAATTTAAATGTGATGGTGGAGCAAGGAGAGTTAGGGTTGGATGGCCACAATTCTTAGAGGGTGGCAAGACATGTTGAGCAGATGATTAGAAACTGATACTCAATTTCTGTTGTTGTTAGTAGAAGCACAGAACATAATACCAGAAACTTACGTCTTTATAAAATAATTGTCCTCAGCTGGAGTACCCTGTTGAATTTTGGATACCACTTTGAGAACAACATCAAGTTTACATGGAGAAGAAAATTAGGAGCACAGGTGGGCCATGTGTCGTTCAATAGAATCATGGCTGATACAATGTGGAATTTACTCCATTTTCCTCCCTGTCCTCCATAACCCTGGAATCCCCTGTAACCCAGCACCATCTCCGTAGCTAGCTGGGGGAGAGAATTCCAAACACTAACAACACTTTAAAAGAGGGAATTCCTCCTCATCTCATACAGGAGAACTCTTATTTTGAAACCATGCCCCAGTTCTCGACTTATCCACTGTGGGAGGTATACTCTCAGCCCCTAAGGATCTTATGTGTTTCAATAAGATCACTACTCGTGCTTCTAAAATCTAGTGAGTACATGCCCAAATATTAATTTATTAGAATGATACCAGGGATACAGATTTTGGTTATGTGGGGCAGAGTGGGGAAGCTGGGATTGCTCTTCTTAGAGTAGAGAAGCTTCAGAGGAAATTAAATCAGAGGTCATCAAAAACATGAATGTATTCGACACAGTAGGAAAATTGTTTCCAGTGGCTTAAGCACTTGTAAATAAGGGCCACAGATTTAAGATAATCAGCAAAAGAAGAAGAAGTGATGTGAGGAAACTTTTTTAAAAAAACATTGTGAGTTGTTGTGATTTAGTATCTAACAAAGTTAGGGAAGCTGTTTCAGTGGTAACTTTCAGAAGGCTAAATACTTGAAGGAAAGTTCTGTGCAGCTACAGAAAAGGAACAAGCAAGTGGATTCATAAACGTGCTGCACCAAACAGCCAGCAAAGGAATAATAAGCCAAATGTCATCCTCCTGTGCTTTATCATTCTGCAATTTCATCTTTACAAACCCCGATTATAGATTCTCCTGTAAGTGAAAATAACTTTTCTATATTTGCCCAACCAAACCTCATCATAATTTTCAAGACACCAGTTCATCTCAGTTTCCTTTCCTCTACAGAGAAGAGATCCAGTCTATCCTATTTTTTCCTGACAGTAAAATCCACATTTCTTCCCAAGAAAACAATGAAGGAAAAGTTTGCAGAAACCTGAAGTTGGAGATGAAGATATTCTCATAAATTTTGTTATTACTTTGAGTACCTAAAGCACAAAAAAAGCTCAATGATTTAAGATGACAAAACCGATCATCAACATTTGTAAGAAGTTTAAAGATTAGCTTTGACTTAAGAGACTAAGCCAATGGACAACAAAATGACGAAGCTTTAAATGTTTTTGAACTAGGAGAACAAGAGCTTACAATGCTTCTGTTGACACAAAATAACATAGGAAATACAGACTGCTGTGAGTCCAAGCTCTTGTTCAGCAGTGATTGGGAAGGGATTGAGAAGGAACAACTTAATTAAGGGCTGTAAGTTTCTAGAATATGAGTGCAATTTGAATTATTTTTCCTTCGGCAAATATAAATATGGCCTGAATAAGCAGAGGCCATTATAAGAAGCAGCAGAAAGCACAATAGCACAAAGAGGTGGAATGAAGAAATCACGTGCACAATGCCTTCCCATTTCTGTAATCCTAACCTCAGCTCTGTCACACTAAAGAAAGAACACTCAGAGTATCACTAGATATTTTATCCACTAATATCATTTTCAGAGCATTGCATTGTTCTTATCTGGGTCACAGGATGTGGGTGTCACTGGCTAGGCCAGCATTTATTGCCATTAAGTAGTCTGGGAACAGCATTCCACTGTATTTGTGACTCAAAAAGAGCAAAATTTGAAGGAAACATAAGCTGTAACCAAAAGGGAATTTTTGCAAAAGACCATTACAAATAAATGTTTGCAATTTCACACTGACCTGCAAAAAATACTGAGTTATTATATTTAAATTACCTCTTCATAAGAGGAGCTTGGTGGGGTGGCAAAGAACATAGCTGCTATTTTCTGTTGGACCCAGGGCAATTCTGCAAATGTAAAACACCTTGAGAGAAATAAATGAGAATGAATAAAACTTTCAACTACATCTCTGTAATATGAGGCATTTTGACACCATCTTTGATTTGACACCATTAATGGGTTACAAACAATATTCAATTTGCTTGTTGTCCAGTATAATATCAAATGTAAGAACAGTGATGTAGAATCAGAGTCAATGCAGGTCAATATAATAGATATTTTAACTGCTTCTCTCCCAACCCAAGTTGCAGAATACTGCGCTGATTACACTCAATAGCAGAGTTATCCATTAGTATTCAGCCGACTGATCTATCAATTTCTAACTAGATTGGTGCACGGAAGGTAACTGCAAATAAAACAAGAGATGAAACAATTTAACTTAGTCATATGCTCTTTAATTGATGATACAACAAAATTTTTAAAAGCAGCAATGTGAGACATTTGAGATTCCATTGTTTAAATTTATAAAAGGTATTAAAATTCATCAATGTTAGACTAAGTCTAAGTAAATAGAACTGCCCAAAATGATAAAGTTCCTACCATAATCCCATTAAATGAATTGATGTTGCATCTTTGGGATTAAGCTCAATAGCTTTCTGAAAGATAAGAGAAGTTTTTCAAATAATTTCCTATCATCAAGATTTTATTTCTTCCATTTATAAAAGTGTATTTCAGAAAGTCACCACAGAAGAAGTGACCCTTGGTTTTATTAAAAGCTGTTTCTCAATTTAATCTGCTGTTTACAGAATCACAGAATTGTTACAGCACAGAAAGAGCCCATTTGGTCCTTCATGTCTGCACTAGCTTACTAAATAAACAACTTTTCCAAGTGCCATTCTCCCACCTTCTCCCTGTCACTCTGTACATTCTTCCTTTCCAGATGACAATCTAATTCCCACTTCTCCTGCTTCATATTCTACAGCTAAATCTGCATCCTCCTTTCACCTAATTAAGGAGGCATTAAGTTCTAATTACTGTCCATTCTCTAACCCCAAATTATCCTGAAAATGACATTTACTGCCAGGGTGCAAAGGCCACGGAACATTGACCCGCACCTATTATTCTTTAACTCAGCTCACCAATGGACATGCATTTGAGCACAAGTGATAAAACAAACACAGAAATTGCTGGAGAAATTCAGCAGGTCTGCAGCATCTGTGGAGAGAAAGCAAAGTTAACGTTTCAAATCTAGTGATCCTTCTTCAGACATAAACTTTTCCTTTCCAAACTTGTGAAGAAGTTCTTAATTAAACCACACACACACCAATTCTGCATTCCTCTTCTAGTTCTAAATACTTTGTATCTCGAAATATTGAGCTACCAAATCAATTGAAGTCATGGTTCTGTCGACAATACACCATTTCCCTTCAGTTTTCTTATTCTTATGTTTTATGTATTCATAGCTAAACAATGCAATGCTAACTCACTCATATTACTCAAAGGCTTTTCCTTTTTATTTTCCCCCACTTTCTTTTATTCCCCCTTTTTAAATTAGCTTTTTAAACTATTTTGACACTTCACAGCATTTATTCCTAATTCCTTCCCAAGTTACCCCTAATTAGGTTTCTCAATTTTACCTTTACTAGCAACAGAATGACTTTTTACGAAAGGAAAACCATGTAAATAAATGTGGTGATATTGTAAAATTTCGCATTTACCTCAAAATGTTCTTTAATAACATAAGCATTTGCAATTTTAGCCTTGATACCCTCGTAGTCTCCAACATCACTGATGCATATAGCATACCACTGCAGAGATTAAAAGAAAATTAAGATCACAAGCAGGTAGAAACTTCAAAACGAGAACATGGCAAATAAATATGCATTACCTTATGAGCTGCAAAGCTCAATTCATTTTTCTCCAGCGATTTTCCAGCAAAATCCAAAGCCTCATATGTCAGCTGTTTCTTCCTTTCCACAGAAGTGCTTTCCAACTGTGCCAAATCTCGTGATGCACGAGCTAGGCGCCACAGAAGCTCACCATTTGTACTAGATAAAATAAGGAATTCAACTTGTCTATTTTAAACAAACAAGTTTCCTTCTTCCAACATTTTTTTTCCTTATGACTTTAATTCAGGACCATATTCTAAATGGGAAAACCCAAATTAACTATTCTGAGGCCAACACTAATGTTGCATCTCATTACAGTACATGGACTTGGGTTAAGTTGGCCCACAATCAAAAGACATTGGATGAACGTTGAAAGACAACATAAAATAGGGAGTGCAGGAGCAGACAGACCTGGGTGTATATGTGCACAGATCATTGAAGGTAGCAGGACAGGTGGAGAACAGTTTATAAGGCATACAATTATTAATAGGGGCATACAATTTAACAGCAAGGAGGTGATATTCAACTTATTCAAGACACTTGTCAGATTTCAGTTTGATCATTAAGCAGTATGGGCACCACATTATAAGAAAGATGTGAATGCATTGGAGAGACTAAAGACCCAATTTACAAGATCAGTTCCATGAATTAGAAACTTCAATTATGAGTATAGTTTGAGGAAATTGGGGTGTTCTCCAAGGAGAGAAGACTGAGAGGTGATTTGATAATGTTTTCAAATCATGAGCAGACTGGCCAGAGTAGATAGGGACAAGCTGTTCCCACACGGAGAAGAAACAATGAGAGGGGGAAGGATTAAAGTGATGTGCAAACAAAGTAAGAGAAAACCTTTTCACACAGTGCGTAGTTAGGGTATTGAATGTACTGCCTGGAAATGTGGTGAAGAGAGGTTCAGTTAAGGCACTCAAGAGATCATTGGTTGATAGTTTAGATAGAAATGGTGTGCTGCAGTAGGAGAAGAGGCAGAAGATTGGCACTAATTAATAAAATCAAGTAATCAAAATTATTTGAACATTCTTGTGTCTAAAGCAGCTACTGTGAAATCATCTTTATCATTCTCATTAACAAATTATTACTCTGTATACTAAACTGTATAATACTACATGTCTAGAACAATTAAATTCTCCTTGAAAATTTGGTGTACAGTTTAATGTTAGAAAAACACATTCAACTGACTTCCACAGTCCAATGCATTGCAGTAGTCCTTTGTGTGGGAATTATAAATGAAATAGCATTCACAAAGATACTCAATTCAGATTTTTTTGAGTTTTCTAAATGCAGAATAAATGCTGTACCACTTGAATAAACGACTTCTGATTATATGAGAAACAAAAACAGAAATTGCTGGAATATCTGACCAGGTCTGGCAAAACTGGGGTTCTGAAGAAGGGTCACTGCATCCAAAACATTAATTCTGATTTCTCTCCACAGGTGCTGCCAGACTGCTGAGCTTTTCAAACAATTACTGTTTTTGCTTCAGATTTCCACCATTCGCAGTTCTTTTGGTTGTCTGAGAACATATGTACGTCTTATAAATACACAGCTAATACTAGGCTTTAAGGATATAAGAACAAACAAATTTGAATAAGTAACTTAATCCAGCCAGGTCCCTTCAGAATTCTGACTACTTTTCATTTTGCTGTACTCATGTTCTTGCAAAGACACAGATTAATCCCAACTCTTTCCAAAAGCGTCAAATAGATCAGCATAGATTTTGAAATAATAACAAAATCTTTGAAATACTTGGCAGTTCTGCAGATTCTGTGATAAAAGAATAGGAATTAACTTTTCAGGTTGATGGATTTTTATCAGAACTGGGAAAAGTTAGAGGTGCAATAGATTTTAAGCAAACAAAGGTGGATGATGGTGGAAAAGGAATAAAATGTGTGTCGCGCAGTGGAAGATAGCAGCTATTAAATGGTAAATGGGTTGATATTGCAAGGAAAGTAGGAATGGTAATGGAACAATGAAAAAACAATGGAAGTGTCTAGAAGAGCTACATATGGCAGGATTATAACAGTTTCTGTCCAAAAGAAAACATTAAAAAGCAAAAACCTGCAAAGAAAAAGAAAGTGGGGGCAGTGGTTGTAATTTGAAATTGTAATTCCTATCTGTGAATCCAAAAGTCTACAAAATGCCAAATTGACAGATAAGATACCACTCCTCAAATTTACACTGAGCTTCACTGGAACAGTGTAAGAGGTTGAGGTCAGAATGGGGGCAAGATGGAGAATTAAAATGACAGGCAAATGAAAGTTTTTTGTTTACTCATTCATGGGAAGTGGGCTGTCCTGACCGGGTCAGGCTTTACTGCCCACCCCTAATTGCCCTGAAGAAGGTGATGGTGAACTGCCTTCTTGAGCCACTGCAGTCCGATTGGTATAGACAGACCCACAATATCATTAGGGAGAAAGTTCCAGAATTTTGATCCAGCAACACTGAAGAAACAGTGATATATTTCCAAATCAGGGTGGTATGTGGTTTGAAGGGGAATTTGCAAGTGGTGGTGTTCACTGCTGCTTTTGTGCTCCTAGATAGCAGTGATTACAGGTTTAAAGATAGTGACTAAAGAGCCTTAGTGAATGTGTACAGTGCATCTTGTAAATTATGCACGTTGTTGCTACTGTATGTCTGTAGTGGAGGGAGTGAATCAACATTGTGGATGTGGTGCCAATCAACCAAGCTGCTTTGTCTTGAATGGTGTCAAAATTATTGAGTGTTGTTGGAGCTGCACTCATCAAATGAGAAGTATTGTGTCACAATCCTGACTTGTACCTTGTGGATAGGCTTTAGGAAGCCAGGGGGTGATTTACTTGCTGTCGACTTCCTAGCCTCTAACCTGCTCTTGTAGCCACTGTGTTTGTACAGTGGATAGTCTAGTGCAGTTACTGGTCAATGGTAAGCCCGAAGACATTGAGATGCACCCTGTTTGCCTGTTCCTGTGCACAAAATGGTCTGGCAGCTGCAGTGAAAGGGGTCAGTGAGCTCCAGATTGTAGTATTGAGGTGCTGAACTGCATTGAAAGTTAGTGCCATGATGATGTAGTGAGGCTTGCTAATGCTAACCTCCATGATGGAGGGTATGTGCAATTGCTGCCCATGAAGCATGTCCTGAGGTGATGAGAAATGCTAGCTGTGGAGCTGCCTGGTACCTGTTTAGAGTTCATGTCAAGAATTGTCCCCACTGCCTGGGGAAATAGAAACCTGCTTAGAAATGAGGCAAGATTAGGTAATAATGAGATGTTAATGTGTGCAAATGGGGCTCTTACAGCTCATAACTGAGATTCTCATCTTGCTGAAAAAGCCTTGCATGGAAAATCTACCCTTTTCTTCCCCGGCATCAACACTCTTATTTTCCAATCTTGCAATATTTTCCTAACTGACTCACTATTGCGCACTTTGTTCAAGGGCTGGGAAATTTCGAATGATCAACTCTTTCTCCCTACAGATGCTGTTAGACTTGTTAAGCATTACCAATATTTTTCTTGTATATCTGCAATATTCTGTTTTAGTATCAAAATTAGTTTTACTTTGTACTTACATGTGCCAAGAGTCATCAACTCTCAACGTGAAAATGTTATTTTTCAAAAGCATTCACCCTTCTATTGCAAAGAGGTCAACAGAAATTTACCTCTCATAATAACGCACTGACAATAATTAACTCAAATTTATGCATACAACTTGGACTTAAAGTCATTGCAGATAATTAACACAGAAGTTTAATTTGCGCTGAAAATATCCATGGATGATTAAAAAGCACCACTAAAGCACACTCAATTTGCTTCTGCTTAACAGTAAGTGATCCCTCAGCTACCATTTATTCTTTGAGAATTCAAGTTATTAATGGCATTCCACGGGTTACAAGCTCAGTTTAAAGAAACATTAGGCAGGGGACAATGAATGGCATTCAATCAACACAGCTGAATATTTCCAGTACAATTTTGTTGATATATTACCTGTTTTTGTGGTCAATAAGGAGGTGATAAAGTTTTTCCACTTCTCCAGTGCCATAAAGATAGTCAGCCCGGTCTATAATTTCTTCCACTGGAAATCCGAAAAATAATTGCTATCACACAAAACATTGACTTATACATGTAACAATCAAAATTTGCAGATATTTCCGGGAACATTATGCATTTTATCAACTCACAAGACAGAGAAACTCGAGTGGTAAAGCAATTCCGTAGGTTAGTAAAATCTAAGCAATTTTAAGCACAAACATAATTGGGTTTTTTGAAGCAGAATTGTTTACTTGGATTTTAGTAAAGCTTTTGACAAGGTTCCACATGGTAGACTAATTAGTAAAGTTAGGTCACATGGGATTCAGGGTGAGCTTGCCAATTGGATATATAATTGACTTAATGGCAGGAGACAGCTTTTTGGACTGGAGCCCTGTCACTAGCAATGTTCATTGTACATTGAGCATCGTAAGTGGCTCAATACTGTAATACCTGCCCAAGAGTCACAGCACCGCAAAAGACTACAGATGGTTCCTCACTTTGCTAAGATAGCAATAACAATTAGGATAGACATGTCACTGAAATATTGGAGGCTTATTAGATTTCACTTGTGTAGAAAAAAATCCCATGCGAAATACAGAATCTCGACTTTTTAAAAAGGTCTACACATAAAATATTCTTTGTTCTACATAATATTGTGAAAGTAAAAGGTTATATTGAACATGCTAATTTACTAACATTAATGTGCTTTTTAACCTCACTCAGTTTATCCCATCTGATTCCCTGGTTGCATTGATGTGAAACCTAATGTAATACCCATTATCACCAACATGAAAATAGCATCACATCATGAAATATTTTTCTTCAAAATAACACACTGTATGGCAAGAAAGTTATGCTAACCTGCTCGATTTAAACATTAGTTTATTTAATGTGGTATCTGAAAGGTGATGCACAAGCAGCATTGAATTACAACCCATACTCCATTAATGGAAATCAAGTTCTGCTAATCCCAAGGTTGTCACAGAATTTAAAGATTTTATCAAAGTAAACAAAATTCCCCAATTCTTCCCATGAAATCACAGAATGTGTAACATCTATCCATTTCCTTCCTCCCTCCTTATATCCAAGGACGCAGACATACTGTACTCTCAGTTCACAATGTGGTCCCCTCTACACTGGGGAGACAAATGCAGACTGCGTGACTGTTTTGCAGAACACTTAAATTCTGTCTGTAAAAATGACCCTGAGCTTCCAGTTGCTTGCCACTTCAACACACCACCATTTTCCCTGGCCAACATTACTGTCGCAGGCTTGCTGCAGTGCTCTAGCAAGGCCCAATGCAAGCTTGAAGAACAACTTCTCGTTTTTCACTTGGGAACTGTACGGGCTCTGCTCCAGAGGTGTGTAAAAATCTCTGAACATGTTGATTAGAAATTATCCTACCAGTTTTGAAGGGACTCTTGTGGCACAGGGGTAATGTCCCTACTTCTGAGCCAGGAGGCTCAGGTTCAAGTTCCACCTGTTCCAGAGATGTGTGACAGAATTAGAAAATTTGATTAGAACATTAAAATATAAACTATACTAGTTTTGATTGCCCAAGGGATTGAAAGAAGAATTTTCCAGAATACCTCTTTTTTCCCTTATTGCTCCTTGAATTGTATGCCTATTAGGAAATAATATAGCTGAGTGACAGGTATGAAACAGAGCTGAAGTATCTAATCATGATGCTTCAGTAGTCCTGTGCAGGGAGCATACTCAATGAACCAAACTGAGGTAGGAGCTTGCAAAAATGGAGCTTAATGGTTAAAGGCCTGTGCAAAAATCTACAGATCTTGCTACATTAGGTCTGGTTTGACAGAGCATGGCTTAACATATTACCAACACTTCCGACATATTGACTGCAGCATCCACCATTTCTCTTTCAATCCAAAGCAAAGAGCAGAAAAAGTTTAGGAGGTTTGTTACTGCCATCCTCAAAAACAGTAAGGAACCAAAAGACAGAGATTCAAAGTGAATAGTAAAAGAACCAGAGGGAAATTGAAGAGTTTTTTAAAATGAATCACTAAGTTATACGTGGTATCATAGTACTGCATATTTTTTCATGCTTTAAGCTAAGTTGCTTATTTGTATTTGTCCTCATTTATATTCTCACTGGAACAGGGAAGTAGCATAGTATATCATGGGAGACTGGGGATGATACAAGGTAGAGAACAGAATGGGATATGTTAATTGGGTTTGATGAGGTAGCATGAGAGGAGACTTGGGTAAAGCCCACAGACCAGTTGTGCCAAAAATGTCATTCCTAAGTAATTTTATCTACGGTGTCAATCACTCCAATTAGTGGATTTTGCATCTCACATTCCCTAATATCTTTTACAATGGAAGGGACGCGACCTCTATAAATAAGATAGACACATTTATTTCCTCCACATTTTCTGAAGATTTTCCAAAACAGTAACTATGTTCAGCTTTACATAGTTCAGTTGTTGCAACTTGTCTCTGAACAAGCAAGGCCAACTAGGGATTGACAATAAATGCTGGCCCAGATAGCAACAGCCACATCCAGATAACATACAACTCCAACTTCAGTGGGTGATCTCTGAAATATAAACAGAAGATGCTGGAGAAACTTAGTAGATTTGGCAGCATCTTTGAAGATAGAAACAAAATTAATGTTTCAAGTCTAAATTGACTAGTCTTTGGAACTGAGGTTCAGATTAATTGGGCTCCAAAGAAAAGTCATTTCAGACTTGAAATGTTATGTCTGTTTCTTTCTCTACATCCTTTCTTCTCTAGAGCCTCTGACTCAGCTGCTGCTTTTATTGCAAAAGTTGACTCATTTATAGTGGGCTAACATTTACTGACTAATCATAATCAGATAAAGAACAAAAAAATCCAATGCAGGAAGTGAAAGGCATTTTTCAATGTGATGAATTACTTCTCAATTAAGAACAATGATAAAAACTCCAGAATAGCATCACAATTAAAGAATTTATGTAGCAATCCTGAACATAGAAAGATCAATAATTTCTCTTCCTTCTCCTTCTAATTTGCTCAGAAAGGCGGTGGAATGACACATTACAAACTTTAGATTCTCAGTATTTCCCACAGCTGTAAGCTGACAAATGTATTTTAGTTCATGTATTTCCATTTCTAACCAACAGATGGCAGTATTGCAGCACTAGTCAAATTGCTGTCGTCAGAAAAAAGGCAAATAGGGAATCTATAACAGATCAAAGGGCATTTGTGGCAGAGTGGTAGTGTCCCTACTCCTGGACCAGAAGGTCTGAGTTCAGATCTCACCTGCCGTGGAGACGTGTGTCATAACATGTCCAAACAACCTGATAGAAAAAAACTTCAGAATATCAGGTCCTTCAATGCCATCCTACATAGTCATGTTGCAAGTTATACGGCTGTGATCCCAGTCACGTTTTCCCTACCACCTCCAAAACAGAGACATAGTTACCCACTCCCAACACCACCACACCAATTTCTTGGGGGAGACAAAATAAAAGAAAATCCAATGACTAATGTAGGGAGAAAATAACAAATTCCTTACCAACCCTTAAAGCCAGACAACAAGTTTATGGCACTACAATGACTGGGAGTTACCTCCCCTAAGTGCCAACCTACCTTCTATAAAGACCACTCTCAAGAACTCATCCAGCTTTCTGTTAAACGATTGCAGAAAATTCAAACTCACTGCACAAGCCGGCAACATGTTCCATAGAACGACGACTCTCTGTGAAAATAAATAATCTCCTGACAAATAATCTAGTTCTATACCTAAATTCTAGACCTAAGCTGCTTGTTAACCTATCTAACTCAGACAGTCTATCCATGCAGGGCAAATACATTGTTTTTATTGAAATTTAAAATCATTGTCAAATCTCATTGAAGTTTTTGTATTGTTAAAGTCTAAGTTCTCTAATATATAAATGATAAAGGCTTTAAGATAAGGATCAACTGAGTGAGTAGCCATCCAACACAATTCAACTTTAGTGACTAAAGACCCAAAAACAAACAAAATCTTGAGGTAATTAAAGAAGTGCAAGGCCATTCTTGATTCTTTTATCCTGAATGATATTCTTTCCCTTCCCCCCCCAAAACATAATAGAATATAATTGTTGCTGTAAAGATTCCAAAATGTTAAGTAAATTTCATGACTTTACCTGAATGTGCACAAAAATCATTCTTTGAATGAACTTCCTGTTATCAGTTCTAAAATTACACTTAAAAATAAATTAAAATAGTCCACCACAGATCCTGGATGACAATTTATTTACAAGCATTCTGTTTGTCCCATTTCACCTAGAAATGGGGACTTAATTGATTTTAGTAATCCCTAAATTTAAACATATGGAGTGGAACATGGTTGAGACCCACAAACATCAGTCTCCATAATGAAAAAAAATTGTACAAACTCAAATTATTTATTAGCACTACTGTCATCCAGTAAATTGGAGATGGAGCATCGTTTAAGGCAGCGCTCACTGCATACAGTACATTTTAGTGCAAAGTCAATTTATTCAGTAAACAGGGTTTAAACAGCAATGCGTTTGTTGCCACTATAAATGCAGGGGGCACTCTCACAGCCCATGCAGTCGCGGTCCTTTTGACATCACAGTTTGGTGGCCCAGAACTTGTGTAATGGCTTCTTACATCAAACTTATCTCATGAACCAGCCCTAGGCTCCTGAAATAATTACAAAACTGTTGACACAATGGAGCACTCAGAAAGAGCCCACAGTCCCTCACCACACAATTCCAGAGCCATATGGCAAGTCAGGCAGGTCAGCCACCAGTGACAGGGATGGGGTTGGCCAGTGGGATGGCCAAAACTGAGGAAGTGCAAACCAGGATGACAGACAACAAGGGTGGGGACAGCCAACATGACAAGAATGGATAGTGAGTGGCCAACTGGTTGGCCAGTGATGGGGGGAATCAGCCAATGGGATGGCTGGCAACAGGCAGGGATGGACAGTGATGAGGAGGCAGCCAGTAATGGTAAGAATGAACAGTGGGGTAGTGGAAACAAGGGTACGGCCACCAATGATGAGCATGGACAGAGGTGGCTGGCAAGAAGGGGGCAGGCAGCAGATCTGAAAATGTGAAGGAGCAACAACAGGCATACACTGTTTCGGATCCCAGTGCAGCATGGAGGCAGGAGATAAAGCGAGTAAACAACATAAGTTACCTACAGATTGTATTTTTATTTAATAAGTCTTTACAAACTACAATGAACAACTGCTTGTTCATCGTCTGCAAGGCACAATTCGGGTGTGTGATGGGTAATCTTCACTTGCCAGGATAGTAAAACTGCAACAGCTGTGTCAAGAAACTCAACACCTTCAGGAAAACTGGCCTACTGGCACCCAGTTCAACACCTTAATCGTTCACAAAGTCCACCACTGTGATTTCTGTGCGGACCATCTATATATGGTCTATAGCAAAGGATCAGTTCCAACAACACCTCTCAAACCCATATCCTCTACCACGAGAGGGACAAAAGCAGTCAATGCCTAGGAACACCACCATCCGCTGTGTTCCCCTCCAAGCCACATACCATCCTGATGTGAAACTACATCACTATTCCTTCCAACAATCACTGGATCAAAATCCTGGAACTCCCTTCCTAACAGCACAATGAGTGTTACTACTCTCCATGAACTGATGCAGAAGGCAACTCTCCATCCTCTCAAAACCAATTAGGGATAGGCAATAGGGGATGGGTAATAAATGTTGACCCTGCCAATGAAGGCCACATTTTATAATTTAAAAAAACTCCACAACCCTCTAAGATTTCTATGCCCCATAGATTTCAGCCCCATGAGCATTCTTGATTTTAATCACTCCATCATTGTTGACCATGCCATCAGCTCTCCAAACCCTAAACATGAAATTCCCTCCTGGAATCCTTTCAGTTTCAATCTCTTTTTCCACCTTTAGGACACTCCTGATAGCCTACATCTTTAACCAAGCTGTCGGTCAAATCTCATTCTCCTGTCAAACACCTTGGAACATCTTATTATATCAACATTCCTTCATAAATACAAATTACTATTATGTAAGAAGAACTCTGAATCGTTACAACTGACTTCTGAAAACATAATGGTGTCAGCCACAATCCTCAAACTTATTCAAACTAAGTTTCTAAAAGTCATATTCTTGTCTCACTTTGCAAGGTGTGTTGAAACCACACTAAAAATTGAACACCCAGTTTTCAGTCAGGTTATGTTAATTTTCAATAATGCAGTCATGCTCAACTTTCCTTGTTGGTCAATAAACCTAAGAAGGTTTAGAGAATACAGTGATTACAGCACAAGTAGAGGAAGGACTTAGTGCTCTGTAATTAAGAAAGCTGCAACTTAATCTTCTAGCAAAGCTCAACACAAGCAGCAGGAACATCACCTCATCTTCCACCTAGGTACCCCACAGACCTGAGGATTCAAATTGAGTTTGACCACTTCAGAGCATGAACACCTCCCTCCATGTTTGTTAAACAACACCATGACCCCTGGCCCTGTTTTGAATAGGTTGCTTCCAGCATAACCCATTTTCAACTATTCACACACCCCATCTGCACCTATTCAGCGTTTATTTCTTTCCCAGCTTACTATAAGCAACTTTTTTGTCAGTTTCTCCTTTTCTCTCCTTCTGGGTACTGTCTCCATCTATCTGTCTCACTCATTCACCCCACTCCCACACCCATCAACTGCATAATTACCACCAGTTCTGACGAAGGGTCACTGGACTCAAGACATCAGTTGTGTTTTTCTCTCCACAGATGCTGCCAGGCCTGCCGAGTTTCTCCAGCACTTTCTATTTTTGCTTAAACTCTACATTGGAGTTAGAAATTTCAGGGAAGGTGCCCAAAAACGGATGCTGCCAAACTTCTGGACCATAATTTTGAGCAGGCTGGGCATTGAGAGGGACCAATCTGTGATTTTGGTAGGATCAAGGTTATATATTATGGCATTTAGTCTTTGCTTAGAAAGATGGGCCTTATGCAAGAAATGATAAAATGTTCAGAATATATTTAGTTCAAATATTGACTCAAATGTCTAATTAGGCCATACGACCATGAGATATAGGAGAATTAGGCCATTCGGCCCATCGGGTCTGCTCCACCATTCAACATGGCTGATATGTTTCTCAACACCACTCTCTCGTAACCCTTGATCCCTTTACTAATCAAGAATGTATCTATCTATGTCTCAAATACACTCAATGACTTGGCCTCCACTGCAATGAGTTCCACAGATTAGCTACCCTCTGACTGAAGAAATTCCTCTTCATCTCAATTCTAAAGCGTCATACCTTCACTCTAAAGCTGTGAACTCGGGTCTCAGTCTTTCCTACTAGTGGAAACACTTTCTTTATGTCCAGGCAGTCCAGGCCTCTCAGTATTATTGAAGTTTCAATCAGACCCCCTCATCATTCTAAACTCCTTTACAGTGCAGACACAAAGTCCTCAACTGCTTCTCATATGATAAGTCTTTCAACTCCAGGGTCATTCTTGTAAATCTCCTCTGGAACCCCTCCAAAGCCAGCACATCCTTCCTTAGATACAGAGCTCTAAACTGCTCATATTCCAGATGCGGTCTGACCAGAGCCTTATACAGCCTCAGCAGCACATCTCTGCTTTTGTATTCTAGCCCTCTTGAAATGAATGCTCACACTGCATTTGACTTCATAACAGCTAACTAAACCTGTATGTTAATCGTAAGAGAATCCCGAACTAAGATTCCTTAGGCCCTTTGAGCTTCAAATTTCTGGAGCCTTTCCCCATTCAGAAAATAGTCTGCACCTCTATTCTTCCTAACAAAGTGCATAACTTCACTGTTTGCCATATTGTATTCAATCTGCCACTTCTTTGCCCACTCTCCTAGCCTGTCCAAGTCCTTCCCTTCTGCAGCCTACTCCCTTGCTCAACACTACTTGTCCCTTCACTTATCTTTGTGTCATCTGCAAACTGAGCAGCAATGCACTCAGTTCCTTTGTCCAGATCGTTAATATGTAACGAATGGTTGTAGTCCCAACACTGACCCCTACAGACTTCTACGAGTCACCAGCTGCCATCCTGAAAAAGACTTTATTCCCACTCTCCGCCTTCTGCCAGTCAGTTGATTCTTTATCCGTCCCAGTACCTGCCCCTAGCACCATGCGCTCTTATTTAGTGACCCTCTGTGCAACACTTTGTCAAAAGCTTTCTGGAAATCCAAACAGATCATCTCCACTGACTCTCCTTTGTCTAACTTGCTTGTTACCTTCTCAAAGAATTTTAACAGATTTGTCAGGCAAGAAAAAATACATAACCTGAATCATTGCTAGTCTGATTTTCTCATTTACAAAATGAGCAGTTACTTCACAGAGAAAATCATGATGAAAATCTCCAATACTAGGTTTACCTTTTTCATCAGCATGAACTACAAGAAATCCTGGAATGTTTCTGTAAACATCATAACCCAGAAAAGTCAATAATGATAGAGTTAGTCCTCTTCCTAAATTTTTACCACCTCTCAAAACCTAGACATGGAAAAGAAGTGATATGGTTAAACACAATTAAATTTCAAAGTCATAGTAAAAAGTAAATAGAGCATCATTTTAAAATATAAGGTAACTTGCACACCTGATCAAACAACTTGCTGCCTGGCCTTCGCTGATACAGCTTAGCTGGCTATTTCATGCATCAAATGAGCACCACAAAAAGAACAGAGATATTTCTATCTCTTGGAGGAAACACTTAATATTTCCAAACAAGGGCAGGACTTATACAATTAATGTTTGGGCCTTGAGAAGTACTGTAGAACTAGGGGTTCAGGAACATAATTCTTTGAAATCTGTGACACAGGTTAACAGGGTAGTTAAGAAGGCATTTAGCACGCTTGCCTTCATTACTCAGACCTTTGAGTATAGGAGTTGGGATGTAATGTTGAGATTATACAGGATGTTGGTGAGACCACTTCTGGAGAACTGTGTGCAGTTCTGGTCACCCTGCTAAATGAAGGATATGATCAAACTGGAGAGGGTTCAGAAAAAATTTACCAGAACGTTGCCAGGAATGAAGGGTTTAAGATATAAAAATAGACTGGAAATGCTGGGATCTTTTTCACTGGAGCGTAGAAGGTTTAGGGATGACCTTATAGACGTTTATAAAATCATGAGGGTGTAGATAAAGTGAATGGCTGGTGTCTTTTCTCTAGGGTGGGGGGTCCAAAACTCGGGGGCGTATTTTTAAGGTAAGAGGAGAAAGCTTTAAAAAGGACATGAGGGGCAATGATTTTACACAGAGAGTAGTTCGTGTGTGGAATGAACTGCCAGAGAAAGTGGTGGATGCAGGTACAGACATTTGAAAGATATTTGGATACGTTCATGAAGAGGAACAGTTTGGAGGGATATGGGCCAAGTGCAGGCAGGTGGGACTAGTTTAGTTTGGGAACATGGTTGGCATGGACTGGTTAGACCAAAAGGTCTGTTTCTGTGTTGTGTGAATCTGATTCATAATGGTATTGTAAAGGATAAAAAAAAAAGATGGGCCAGCCATTGCAACAGCAAACCCAACAATCCAGGACAGTTGCTTAGAGTAAGAACCAAATTGTTTTGGCAGTCCACTGATCATAAACAGTAATTTACATGGTACTTCCTTCTCCTCCCCTGAAAATTTGTTTCATATACACTGGGGGCCCTGGTCCTGAATCCATTTTCATTTCTAATTACAATGGATAATAAACCATAAAGTCAGGAATAAATCACAGAGGCATTTTAAAATAGAAGCAAGTGATTTACCAGTTTCCACATTATAAAACAGTAGCAAACTACCTTTTCTTCCACCAGTCATAAATTAAGCGATTGTAAACTGAATTCATAATCAATGATTTCTAAAAATGTTGAACGAATATATCAGTTTTTACAGAATTATTTGTAGTATTTTAATTATCAACAAGTAAAATGTAAGTATCCATAATACAGTACATAGTGACAACAAACAGCTTTATTGTTCTATTCCCATCATCACAGCTAAACTGTTTCAATCTTCTGTCTTGCACTCAATCCCCCAACACCTAAATCTCTTGCCATCTTTTTAACAACTCCTTCAGACATCTCTCCTAATACCATCCATGGTATCTAAAGTGAATTTCTTGACGCAGGCTATATTAGAAGACATTGCAAAAAGCAACTTCTGTGTCTTACTGGAGATTTCCATATTACATTGAAATTGCAGGGCACTGACCATAAGACTGTAAGACACAAGAGCAGAATTAGGCCATTTCGCCCATCCAGTCTGCTCTGCCATTCAATCACGGCTGATGCTTCTCAATCCAATCCTCCTGCTTTCTCCGCATAACCCTCGATCCCCTTCCCAATCAAGTACCTATCTGATGAAGAGTCATCTAGACTAAAAACGTTAGCTTGCTGTCTCTCTGTGGATGCTGTCTGACCCGCTGTGATCTCCAGCATTTGTTGTTCTGAGTACCTATCTATTCCTGTCTTAAATATACTCAATGACTTGTCCTCTAAAGCCTCCTGTGGCAAGGAGCTCCACAGGTTAACCATGGTACTCCAAATGTGGTCTGACTGGAGCCTTATGCAGCCTCAGCAGTACATCTCTGATCTTGTATTTTAGCTATCTTGAAACAAATGCTAACATTGCATTTGCCTTCCTAACTGCCAATTGAACTTGCAAGCTAACTTTAAGAGAATCTGAACTAGGACTCCCAAGTCCCTCTGTGCTTCAGATTTCTGCAGCCTTTCTCCTAGGCAGCACCTTGTCAAAGGTGTTCTGGAAATCCAAATAGATCATGTCCACTAGCTCTCCTTTGCCTAATTTGCTCATTACCTTTTCAAAGAGTTACAACCGATTTGTCAGGCATGACCTCTCCTTGACAAAGCTGTGTTGACTCTGCCTTATTTTACAATGAACTTCCAAATATTCTGCAATCTCATCCTTAATAATGGTCTGTTAAATCTTACCACTAACCAAAATCTGGCTTACCAGCCTATAGTTTCCTGTCTTCTGCCTCCCTCCCTTCTTAATTGTTGTATTAGCCATTTTCCAGTCCTCTGGGACCCTCCCTGGCTTCTGACAGACCACCATCAATGCCTCTACAATCTCCTGAACTATCTCCTTCAGAACTCTGAGATGTAGTCCATTTG